GAGGCTGCCGCGCAGCTTCGGCCTGGATCGCGGCGGAGAGCGCAGTGGATAGATCTCCAGGACTGGATCGCCGTCGCGCAGACCAGCTTAGCCCGCGCCCGTGTCGACGTCGCCCCGCCCCGCACGGGCCCTCTCGCGCCCCCCTCCCCCGAACGCCCTCGTCGCGCGCCAACGCTGGCGCCAGCGCCGGCGTCGCCAGAGGCGCGCTCGAGAGCCTCGGCGATGGGGGCCCCGCCCAGGGGATTTTCGACCCCGGGGGCAACCTGCGGCACGTGGGAGGGGGATTCATGTTTGCGCGGCGGCCGCCAGTTCTGACTTCCCAGAGCACCGAAGAGCGGGCGCGGCCATCGTTGAGTTCGACGAAGCCGTCTGGCCCGCGAGGGCCAAGCTCGGAGGGCGCCAGGCCGAGCGCGGGGCGAGGCGTTCTGTCGCCCAGGCGGACCACCTCGTTCGCGATCGCTGCGGACCGCCTCGTTCGCGAGGGGGGCGGAGGTCCAGGGTCGGCGGCCCAAGGCCTGGCATGCTGGTCCGCGGCGGGAGCTCCCGGCAGGCGGGCCCGCTCGCGCCGCCGAAGGAGGCGCGGCGGGGCTCGCTTTTGCTCCGCGACCGGGCGGCAGTGAAGAGCTGGGCCACGGTGGAGAAGCGACGCGCGGGCGCCTTTTCTTCGCCGGCAAAGGACGCGAGGAGGCGGCCGTGGCAGAGGGAAGATTGTCCGCGATTCCAAACTGCAGCGGGCGGCGGCGGCGGCTTCTGTTCCCGCCTGGGCCAGGTGGCGCGCCGACGCGCCGAAAAGGCGAAGTCGTTGTCCAGCCAGGAGGCGCGCCGCCAGACGGTTGCGCCCATGGCCCGTGCAGCTGCAGCCGACGAGCGCGCGTCCTGGCATCGCCGCTGGCGCGCAGGGCGGAAGTGCAGGCGGCTGTTCGGCGCCGAGAGTTCGACCTGACCGCTCCAAATTGATGCGAAGTCGAGCCGCGGGCCTGCGCGGCCTTGTCCGGCGAGCGCCCGGGCCTTGGCGCGAACAGAAAATAACGGAAATCATAGGAATCCGCCGGCAAGAGGGGCATCGAGGGCAGGCGCCCCCCAAGAGGGGGGAAAACCTCGTCGTTGGGAAGTGTCTTCCTCGCCCCCGTTCTTCCCCCTGCCCCCGTCCTCCGATCGGGCCATGGACCTGATCGTTCGAAATCGAGGCCCCAGCGCGCCGCCAGACGTCGAGGCCGACAGGGGCCCGGGCCCGGGCAGGCAGGCGCGCGCAGGTGCCGTCTCCGGCAGGCAGGCAGGCCCGGGCGGCAGGCAGGCAGGCGCTCGCGTACTTGCGGCAATCGGCTCTCTTCTTTCCTTCCTCCTCATGGGGCCAAGATGGCCCCCCTCCTATGGGTCGGTCATGGCCCATGTTCTGAGTCCCGCCTGGCCGTTGCGACGAGAAGCCCCAGCAGCGCCCGATCAGTTCCGAAACGTCGTCGTCACAGGATTCGCCGATACGGTCGTCGACTTTGTCGTCGCCGCCGTCGTTGCCGTCGATGCCGCGGTAGGATTGATGCGTGGTCACCCGCAACAACCCTGTTGCATGCGGGGGTGTTGCGGTATCCAACCTCCCTCCCGTTTTTTTTTTTCTCCTCTTCTCCCTCCCCCCGTCCCTCTTGGCTCTTGCCTTGCTTGTCAGCCTGTTCCTCGATTTCGCTGCCCTGCATGGGAAGTTCGCTCGGGGTTGGCGGAGTGAGAAATTGCCGCCAAGTTCGAAGGCGACTTGGTGGTCCAACCGAGCGACGTCGTACGCGAGTTCAGATTAGACCGCGGTTCCAGAGTAGCCTTCGCCATCCTTGGGTGGCTGCGCGCTGGGCGTGTCGCCGCGCTCGGTAGTTACCCGGCTGGCATAAGTCACTGTAATGAATGAAAGCGCGTTCTTAAAAGAAACTATTTACAGTAGGAACAACGATGATTCACTAAAGCGGGAAACGGATTTATTAGATTGCGCCGCCGATTCAAAACAAAACAGCATGTCATTTAGCAAACGCAGGTTTACTCAGTTCGAACACGGGTTTTCTAAATCCAGGACCGCTATTTTAAATTACAGATCCTATCGCTACCACGACCTGGGTATTGGCTCGATAAATAATTCTTGGGGGTTCAGCGGGATGGCGTCACACGCGGATTCAGATGAGACCTCATCGTCCCTGGGGGGTGCGCATTGCGAAATGGTCGCCGCCTTCGAGGGTTGCTTGGACGGGCACCTAAGTGCGACGCTGCGCAGATCAGAGCGGGACCTCGCCATCCTTGGGGGGCTGCGAAGTGCGAAACCGTCGTCACCGCGGAGGGCTGCTGAGGGGTAACAGCTTCATCGGGCGTTACGCAAATCAGAGCGGGACCTCGCCATCCAGGGGGGGGGGGGTACGACTTGCGAAATTGCCGCCAGTTTCGTTGGTTTTTGAGCGGGCCAGCTTCGTGGGGTGCTTCGCGGATCAGACAGGGACCTCGCCATTATTGGGGGGCTACGGAGTGCAAATTTGGTCGCCACTTTCGAGGGCTGCTGGGGGGGGGGGGGAACGCGGGACCTCGCCATCTTTGGGGGGTTGCGCACAGCGAGATTGCCTAATGTTCGAGGGTTGCTGATGGGTAGTGGGGTGCGACGCAAATGAGAGCGGGACCTCGCCATTTACGGGCGGTTGCGAATTTGAAAACCGTCGCCATGTTGGAGAGTTTCTGACGGGAGATAACTTAGTGCGGCTCTGCGCAGATCAGAACGAAATTTCGTGGGGCACTGCGAAATTGGTCGTCACTGTCGTGGGCTCCTGGGGGGCCAGCTTTGCACGGTGCTACGCAGCGGAGTCTTGTGTTTCACGCAACGCGCGCACATCCTTTGCAGCTTGCGCAACAAATCACGGTTCCGGCATTGCCAACATCTATATTTATGCGGGTACATTTAGTTTGTCATTTGATGCAAATGGGTTAGATACGTCGCAGGATATTATTTGATCGAGGGCGGGTTATGGGTAGGATGTTGGACACGGTTCCGAGTCGTTTCGTTGTGTCGTTTTTTTTTCCTTCGACCCCAGACCTCCGACGTCTTCAACATGAAAGAAACATTTCCCGCCATTGGTGGTCTCGGGAAGCAGCTCCACGTCTCCAGAATGGTCAAAAACCCCGAGTGGACAGGTGGTCCATGGGAAGGTGACGAGAGCACTGGGGTTAAGTCGGGCCCGTCCCTCTACAGGAGGAATATTCAAAAATAGTTAAAAAAATAGTCTGGGGACTATTTGTTTGATTATTTTTTGACCATTCGGGAGTATGTTTGGAGTATTTTTTATTTCATCGCTTCGCTCATTCCGCCGGCCCTGGAGTGCTATTTGGGGCCTCTTGGGACCGTCTTGGGGGCCTCTCGGGGGCTTCTTGGGAGCGTATTGGGGCTCCTTGGCGGCGTCTTGGGCTCCCCTGGGCCCTCTTAGAGGGCTTTTGGGGGCCCCTTGGGGCGGGAGGGGGGGTAGTCGATTGCAGCCACCCACTCAGAGGCCACGATCCTCGTGAGGGGTGGCGAAAAATAGCCTCCCCCCTGGGGATCGCCCGGGACCCGGCCAGGACCTGGCCGGGGGTCAGCCGGGGTACTTTTCGTCCGGGGGCCCCCAGGGGCCGCCCCGCGCGCACGAACTAAAAATATTGTTCAGTAGTTACCGGAGATCTTAGCACGCCTCTGGCCCGTTGGGCTGGCGGATTTGTCATCGAACATCCCCCTGTAGGGGGACACGCCCGACTTAATGGAAGGCGTCGAGAGCACTTGGGCCCGCGCACGGGACCTAGACAAGATGTCGGTGGCATGTTTGCGGTCGGTGTGCGTCCATTTTCTCTGCGCCTCGCGTCAGGACTCCACCTACCAGGTGGTGTTCAACGCAGCGGTGATGGATTCTGCCGTGCTGCGAGGGGACGCCGTCATGGAGGTGTTCACCATGGAGGGGGGGCGGAGCCACAGCAGTGCGAGGCGATGAAGGAATTCTGCACTGCACAGCGCGGAGGCGCGAACCGAGAAGAAAACATTCACCGCCGAGGTAGACGGAAGGGGAACTGCATCCAGAATCCAAAGTGAGACTGTCCACCATGGGAGCAGATGAATGAGGAGGAAGAAGAAGCAGACAAAATTGTGGAGAAGTGGGGAGCAGAATGGAGAGGTTCCCTCTGTGTGGGACAAATTGCTTCTACTCTCTTGGAAGGATCCGCTTTGAGGGGGAGGCTGAACGCGGAACGTCCGATCTAGTCTTCATTTTTCGGGGGGACCGCCGGTGACTTGAGAGGACGGGGGAAAACCATGGCAGTTGCACCTCGTTGACGATCGTGACGCGCGATCCTCGCGCGCGCGCTAAAATTGGCTATCTCATGGTATCCGATGGCATGAAAGAAGCAGAAGGTGGGTCTAACAAATCGCGCTGGAGCCTTTACTATCCATTTCGGCCTCTGGGGGTCTGTGTCGGTCGGGCCCCAGGACCATCAACAATCAATATATAAGGCAAACGTAGCGCAGATGGGGACATACTTTCAGCGGGTTTTCAGGAGGAGAGCAGTCATCATGGGTCAGATCGATAGCGAGACGAACAGAAAGGTACCCAAGGATTTTGCATGCGCGCGGGGGGGGAGAGGATGACGTGATCAACAAGCCATACGAGGCGATCGAGTACGGACAGGTACTCTTGGCGTCAACACCCCAGGACGGGACGGGTGGCGACGACCCGAGATTCAGGGAGCCCGACGGTTTCAAGATTGTCGGGGGGCACGACAATCTCTTGGAGGTTTTCACCGCCGACACAATGCGATTCGAGATTATGGGTGGCCTGAGCTATGTCAACTCGGTTCCTGTTCACAAACCGATCACCGCGGGCCACATCATCAGGATCTTCTTGTGGCCCTTGACCCAGTGGGAGACCGCCAGCGTCTGCCAGGCGTCCTGCTACGATCAGGAGCAGAGCAACTTTGTTTGCGGAGAGTTCCCGTCGTGTGTTGGGTTGCCCGTAGTGACCGGCATGAGTAACAACATCTTGAAGTTTGTAATGCCAGACACCATGATCGACATCCTTGGCAGTGCGAAGGCAAAAATCGAGCTATCTGGCCTGACCATTCCGGCGGGGGGGTTCTTCGCGACCCGCCTCGCAGCACAGGTCAGCGGGGCCGACGACTTGACGCCACATTATGTCGAGTCAGTTGGCAATTTCATTTGGAAGCAGCCCAATCCGGGACATCCCGTTTCTAAAGTGATGTCATCTGCGGGCGGTGGCAACGAAATGCCATTCCGTGGCGACCAGAACAACGTGTTGTACGCGAGAATATTGTTGTCGTCGACTCTATTGGCCGTTGACAGCACCGCGGGGGGAGATGCGTCTTTCACGTTGACGTTGCCGCCTGGCTACACCTGCCTCAACGAGCAGTCCTCCGCAGCAGATGGGGACAACGTCTGGGCCGCCGAGGATTCAGGAGGGGAAGACTCAGACACAATGGATCGACGATTCCCAGGAAAATATGGGAAAATATGGAAATTGGGGGGAAAGACAATTCAGAAAATCTAGGAAAATATTGGGAATCCTGGGATCTGTGTGTATTTTCTTCTGTGTTCCTGGGTCCCTTCCAGGATACCCTCCCGGCTCTGGCCGAAGTGCCCCAGGGCAGAGGCACTCCGTCCGACGGCACTGCGTCCATTGGCTGGAGCGTCAACGGGTCCACGTGCACCTACACCCCAGAGCATCCCCATTCTCGGGCCGGACGACAGGGGGGATAGGGAGAGGGGGGGTACGAAATTTGTTGCAAGCAGCTGGTTTCAGCCCCACCGAGGGGCCCATTCCTCGGTACATGGGCGCCTCCGGCGCCGGGAGGCGCCGGGAAAATCAGCTACGTGAGCTGATTCAAAACCCCCCTTTTGATATCCCCCCCTTTCGCCCGGCCCGACATGCGAAGAAGAAAATACGCAACAAACATAAATGTTTGGCGCTCCGCGCGGATTTCCTGGACCTGCGCGGGGCCCCCCCGGCGGCGCCTCCTGGCGCGCTCCGCGCGCCAGGGAGGGGGGGTCCAGCGCGGATCCACGAAATCCGCACAGAGCGCCAAAAGTTTATGTTTATGCCGTTTTTTTTTTTCTTCTATCCATGGCGTAGTGTACGCAGGCTCCTCTCTAATTGTCAGGATCGTGACGAACAATCCCGCGGACGCGCTGGAGCGAAGCGACTCGACAAATCTGTGGAAGGTCGAGATGACGGGCAAAGGGAGACACCCCACCGAGCAGCAGAAGACCCAGAAATACCCGTTTGTGGCAAATGTGAACGATGAGTTCTACCAGGCAAACGTTGCTGTGCTCGGTCGCATCAGCGACACGTTCTGCCAGGCCACCGACCTCGCTCCAGTGCTGTCTGGTCAACCGCTGTATGTGAGAGTGTTCTTCCGGCCAGAGTCGCAGGTATGGAATATTTACAAGCGACACCTAGCAAACTGTCGGAGATCTGCGCGGATTTCTGGGGGCGGCGCGGGACCCCCCTCCCCACACCGTTTCCCAGGGGCCCAGATGTGGGGAGGGGGTGGGGTCAGGAAATCCGCGAAGATCTCCGACATTTCATGCTCGTGCTGTTCTGCGGACATCCCAGGTAGAGAGCGGAGGGCTCGTCCGGGTGGTCGCGCCCGTGGGGTATTTGTTCAGCGCCGTCTGCTTGGCCGAGGACTTGGAGGAGATGTACTACGCCGCCGACGACGGCGGTCAGTCCACCCTCCGGCTGCCAGGGATCGCGTCCTGCACCTCCACCGTGGCTTTGCAGGCGGACATCCGAGTGGAGAACATCTTGCGGTCTTCCGCGGCGTGCAGAAGGGGGCGGGGCGAGGAGGGCGGCCTTGTAAAGGAGGCAGGAGTCTTCTTTGGAGCCATCCCCCTGCCTGCGAGGCCCTCATAGAAGTACAGTGGAGGCCCATTGCCTCACGGTGCCCTGGGTTTCTTGGGTTTCGATGGTTTTTGCCATTGAAAGCGTAACGTTCCAACACCAAACATCGATGGACGTCCCTGGGGTCTCAGGGTTGGGTTTCTTGTGGAAGGTTTCTTGTGGTCGGGCCCCTACTGTATACGAACCCTTCTAGGAAGCCCAGTGCGTCTGAGAAGGCCGCCACCCTCGCCCGACCCCACGCTGCGAGCCGCCCAGGTTTGGCCAGCTCTACGGCTTCAAGCTGCGGGTGCAAGACGATACCACCGTGGCGGAAGCGGGGGACGACTGGAACATCTACACGGCCGACGCGGACGACTACCTCATCGACGGTACCCAGGAGTCGATGAGTTGCTCTTTCGGTTCCGGTCGGTATTGGGGGCCGCGCATGAGCAGCACGTTGATCGCGACGATGTTCATTGATGACATGAGGCCATATGACATGACGCAGGCGTGCACTTACGTTTCCGTGCTCATAAGCAAAGTGCCCAGCGGAGAGAGTGGCCCCATCCATTTCTTCGCTCCAGAGGGGTATGAGTGGGACCTGACCTGCCAATACACCAGCGCCCCATTCCCCGCGGGGACGCCGGTGCAAAATGGCGCCACGCTCACGTGGAGTTCGGCCACGTTTTCGAACACGGTGGTTTACCAGTTCTCTGCGCCGATCAGAGTACCGCACAAAGCCCCGACTGCCTCGAGCCACACCTTCTTCTTGCAGTTCGGCGAGGTTGCCGCAGCTGCTCTCGACGCTCCCCTTGTGAGGGCTCTCAAGAACGCGGATGTAGACTACACCTCGACTGTCGTGGCCAAAGAGAACCAGCTGCAGTTCCAGGTCGAAACTGTGACCGACATCCCCGCGGAGGGGGGCATCGCCATCGTCGCGGCCGCGGGGTTCACTTTCGAGACATCGTGCGACGTTGTCGCCGCACTCGACCCCACGCTGCCGGCGCCACCCGACCTGGTCTGCAGTGCTGCGCTGGACCCAGCGCTGGAGAGGTACAGACTGAGGCTGCAGGTGCCCGCCGGAGGGTCGCTTCCGGCGGGGCTGCACTACTTCGCCGTGCTCGGAGAGAATCCGGAGGATCCCGTGCTGAACTACCCGGACTTGGCCAGCCCGTGCGGGACTTCGGAGTGCTGGCTGTTCGACACCTACGAGAACCTCAACGGTGACGACGCAGACTTGGGTCAGGCGACGAAGCTCGACCACGGCACGGCTGCTCAGGGATTCAGCCTCAGAACGCAGATGTACGACGCCGCGCTGCCAGAAATCAACGACGCCGAGCGCTTTGCGACTGGCAGAGATGATCGCCCCCTTATGGCGAATAGCGTCATCTTTAGTTTCGAGGTCATCGAGGCCATCTCAGGCCCCATGACTTTGATATTGCGCGGCCCTGCCGGATTCGTCTTCGAGGAGGACTGCTTGAGCACCGTGGAGGTGAGCCAAAGCACCGTGTTCGGCGTCGGCAGCAAGTTCCCACCAGAATACGTTGTCTGGCCAGCTGGTATTTCTGTTACTGAATGTACAGGTAGTAGTGCAGACGCGCACTTGACTTTGGAGATGGCAGATAGCAGCGCGGCCTTCAACGTGGGAAGTCTGCATGTCTTCCGGATCGGTTTCACAAATCCCGAGGAGACGCCCGCGGAGAATTATTGGACGATCGAGTTGGCACCTGTCATCTCCACTGGCCAGTCTTCCTCGCGCTTCGACGGCCTGAGTCTCTGGGCACTGACCAACACGGATGTCTCTGCCATCTCCACGTCGCGCGTGCAGTACGGAGATGAGGTCCTCGAGAATCCAGTCACCATCAGCTTCCGCCCTCACAATAGCGTGGCGAGCACAGGCTACATCATCGCGGAGGCGCCCACCGGCTTCACCTTTGTGCACCTGTCCTCGATGGTCTGCGAGGCGTCTCTCGAAGAGGTACCCTACAGCGTGCTCGGCGTTCAGTACCCAGGCTACGAGTGGGCTAGCGAGGACATAATCTGTGTCGTGGACGCGGCGAACACGGCAATGGCCACAATCTCCTTCACGGATACATATCCGTTGACGTCGAGCTTGGACTACGCTCTGGTGTTGAAGGTTCTCAACCCGAACACGCTTACGGGAGAGCCGACAGAGTGGAAGATTACAACTTGGGAGCAGGATGGTACGGCATTGGATGGAGGTACGATCACGTCATTTGTTGTCAACGAGGTGGTGTTCACATTCGAGTACGCCAACATAGAACAGAATGGCGGCGCGACGCTCCCAAACAATTTTAATTTCAAAATGCAGTTGCCCGCAGAGCTGCTTCCAGGCGACATGATCGTCCTGACAGGGCCCCCAGGCTTCGTCCTCGACCAGACCGTCTGCGACGGCCTCACTTGGTATTTGACAGAGGACGTCGCCCCCGTCGCAGGGTATTCCCCGCTGCCGCAGCCGGACTCGACAGTGACTTGCACGGGGGACGAAATTCGGCTAGATGTTGATGGACCCGAAGACCAGATGCCGGTGGCAAACATGGTGCTACAGTTCCACGTGCCCCTGTCCAACCCCACGAGCACGCCGCATGAGCATTTCAACTTCTGGAGCTGCACTCACCTCGACGCTGCTGGCAATATTAATAGCATGAAGGCGATTACCTCTTGGGAAATCTTCCCACAGATTGCCGACGTGACATTCAAGCTGCTTGGCCCTCTCTTGGCTGCCGGCTCCTCGTCATCTGTGAGATTGACCTTCAGGCCTGTATCGAACGCAGAGGATGTCCTCATCTCAGTGTCCGAGCCGAGCGGGTTCAATTTCGATGCGGCCATTGTTGCGGATCCCAAGCAGATTGCCGTGGTCAAGTCTGGAAATTCTATACGAATTCAGGCAGCGATCGCAGCAGACACTGTGACCACCATAATGTTGAACAATGTCATTCTGGGACAAGGAGGTGGCCAGACGGAGATCACGTTGACGACCTACACGGGTGGGCTCTTCCAAAACGGAGTGTGGATCGTGGGCGAGCAGCTCGACGAGATCAGCCAGTTTTCTGGAGGTTTCAGATTGCCGGGAGATCTCAAGGTCATCTCGGAAACGTTGGAGAACGAGTTCCAGCAGAACAGCAATGTTTATCCAGTTGAGTCCCAGTGGTCCGTGCAGATGGACCAGGTGGCGTATGCCAAGTTCGATTTCTACGTAACGCAGACTGCCTTCGTTGGCACGGAACTGGTGATTTCTGGAAGCCCTTACGTTCCGATTTCTGGTCAGTTCTTGGTCCAGAAGAAGCAGACCACAGTGTCGCTATTCGCTGGCAGCGCAGTTGCGGAAGTCATTGGTACGACTAACATTGTTTTTGCCAATGGTAGTTTGCGGGCGATTTTGGAGGATGTTTTGGTGGCATACGAGATCTACCAGGTAGAAATGTCTGTCATGACGCCAAGGCCGTACGAGGTCCAGGCGGCAGAGAGTTCCAGCATTGGAAACATATATTGGACTATCAACACAGAGGACGGTGATGAACTCCCTGTCAACACTAACGATGCCGAGTCCCGCGCGTTCAAGGTAGTAGAGCAGCTTGGTTTCAACGTATCTTCTGCGTTTTCACCGCCGACAGCAGAGGTTACAGTTTCTCTCACCATCAGTGTGGGACTGTACCATCCGACAGAGCTTACTATCGTAGCGCCTCTGGGCTTCACCTTTCCCACCGACTGCCTGGTGTTCGGCGGCATCGAGGTCCTCGCTTGCGAGCCGGGTGTGGCGCTCAATGGAAGGTTTGAGCAGGGACCGACCGTCCCGGCATTCTTATAGGCCTACCACGAAGTTGTCTTAGAACCCAAATTGCCCCAAACATGAAACTAATGCGTAAGTCCGATGTCTTAAAACACGATAATATCGGCCAGAAGTGTTCTAAGAGCATTTCGTGCAGACGGCGAAAGGTTCTTGGAACATTCTTTGGTGGGCCCATGAGCAACCCAGGACGCGTTGCCACTGCTCGAAAGGTCGACGGCCGTGCTCACGGTCGCCGAGGCCGGCATCACTTACACGCCGCCTGACGTGAGGATCAGGGTATTCACTCCGTCGGCCACACCAGCAAAGAAGGAGTGGTTCATCGAAGGCACGTACGTCTGGAACGGGATGCAGGCTTGCTGGGGCAAGGCCACTGGCATCGACGTCATGCAGATGACCGACACCGCAGTGACCTATCCGGCCATCGGTACGGTGCAGTCCCGGATCGTGTGGGAATTCACCACGCAGATTGTTGTGGACACGGGAGGCTACCTAGAGATTGATCTGCCTAACGGTTTTGACCCTCAGTGCAGTGGCAACATGTTGGAGTTGCTCTCGTTCCCCACGTTCAGCACTTGCTTCGTGCAGCCGGACGGGAATCTCTCCTCCTCTTGGCCCTCGTCCTCGTCCACCTGTTTCGTCCCCCTCGGCCCTCCAGAGTGGCCGAGGGGGTCTCTTCCTCCTTCCTCCTCCGCCTGCTCCTCCTCCTCCTTCTCCTCCTCCTCCTTCTCCTCCTCCTCTTCCTCCTCCTCCTCCTTCTCCTCCTCCTCCTCCTCCTCCCTCCTCCTCGCGCACGCTGCAGCCTCCCCCAGAGCTGTTCTGAAATTGAGTCGTCCAGCGGAGCGTGCCTTCCGAGCTCCACGCGTTCAGGTAGCCGACGCAGAGGGCAGGAGGAGCAGGAGGAGGAGGAGGTGGAGGAAGAGAAGGGGGAGGGGGAGGAGGGGGAGGCAGAGGCAGAGGCAGAGGCAGAGGCAGAGGAGGGGGAGGGGGCAGGGGAGGGGGGGGGGTAGGAGGAGGAGGGGGGAGGGGGAGGAGGCGGAGGATAGAGAGGAGGAGGAGAGGAGGAGGAGGAGGAAGGAGGAGGAGGAGGATGATGAGGAGGAGGAGGAGGAGGAGGAGGGGGAGGGGGAGGTGGAGGAAGAGAGAGGGGGAGGGGGAGGAGGGGGGAGGGGGAGGCAGAGAGCGGAGGCAGAGGCAGAGGGGGAGGAGGGGGAGGGGGGGGGGGG